AAAAGACTCACTCTCAAGTCCCAGAGTGCTTCTAAGAGGGAAATATAAAATTATGCTGATTGGACCTAATGTAAATTTGTGGGATTTAAACTCTACCAGGCACACACTTCTACATGATGTTTTCATTCTTTTTTTTTCATTTTCATTCTTCCCCTACTGTCATCCTTAGATACTTGAATATCCACAATGAAATCTTGTCCTATCCATTAGGATGGTCAGACTAGCTTGGGACTCACCTTCACTTGAAACTAATAATTGACATTGAAACAGGACTTTTACACATATGATTTCATTTGATCCTCACAATAGCCTTGTGAATTATGATAATCTCCATTTTACAGATAAGGAAACTGAAGGTGAGAGTTAAGTGACTTACATAGGATCACACATCTAGTAAGTGCTTGAGACAAGATTCAAACTCAGTTTTTCCTAACTCCAAGTATAATTCTCTATCAACTACACCATCTGGATACCTAAATTCTAGACTGTCATGTTTCCCTTTCTGATCAGGGATTCTTTACTTCTTTGACTTTCTTTCCAATTAGGGCCTTTAAAGTTGATTCACAGGGCAGTCAAAGAATTACTATCTTCTAGTCATGCATCTTTGGCTCTTCCTTCTACCCCATGCACTAGATCCAATCAGTTGGTAAATCCTAACAATTCTATTTCTCCCACACCTCTTAGGTCTATTTCATCCTTTCTTCTTTCACTACAGTGATCCCAGATCAGGAACTCATTATTCCACATGTGAAATATTGGTATTGCTATGTAACTGCTCTTGGTGTCTCATCTTTCAAGATTTCACCTGATTCTCACTGCTACTAAAGCCATCATCCTAATGTCCTTCTCTGATGACATTCCTCTATTCAAAATCTTTTAATAGATATCCACTAGCTAACAAATAAAGTCTAAACTTCTTGCCTGGTATAAGGATGGGGGGGAGGGCTCCATTGATTCAGCTCACCCACCCCCCAATTCTACTTAAAATTAGTTGCCTTTGTTGGGTCAGAACACTTCTTGATTGAATCAGACATTCAGAACTATACATTAACAAGGTCCAGAGACCTCCTAGAACCAATCAAAAACATGTAAATTAGGACAGGAAGTCTGTTTCAGTGGATTAGGGACTTGGTTTCAAACTGAGGAACTTGTACAAAAACAAGGAGTTACTTCAGAAACTGAAAGAGATTTTGAGGGTCTAGCAGAGGAGAGGATGGAGTAGGGAATGACAAGAACTGGGTAGGGAAAAATCCACAACGTGGGGGCAAAGGGCAAAAGACAAAAGGGAAGTAAGACTTAACTATGCAGAGAAAGAAGAGAAAAATGAGGGACATCAGCCCTGCAGGCATCTTGGAGCAGAAGACACCAGCTGGCTCCACCAAGTACACCCACTTTTTCAAGGACCACTAAAAGATCCAAGAAAAGTCCTGCATTTTCCCCAACTTCCCCTCCTACTACCTATTAACAAACACTACAATATAGTCTAGTGCTTAATCAAATATTTCCAAACCTAGATTTTGCCTTAACCATATAGAGACTAGAGTTTAGCTCGAAATAAGTACAAATATAATTTAAGACAGAGAGCCAAACCTCTTTCTAAGTGTTAGAAACTTTTTTCCTAACTGGGTCTTGGAATGATAGTGATTATGCTTCTAACTTGTCATTTAATATGAAGTCCCTAAAGCATCATAGTAGAGAAGCATGTGGACCTGAGAGACCATCATATTACCCCTGGGCTTAATATAAGCTAATTAGATTAATAAGAGGTTGTCCTGGTGTTCAATGATCTCCACAATCACAGCCTTAAGGCACATTTCTCCTATTCATATTATATCTTCTGACTTTTGTCCTCCCTGCCTCCCCCATGCTTATCCATCATTTGTTCTTGAATCCAGTCTTTGCTCATACCACATCATATACATATACATACATACAAACATATATAACATACATATACATACATGCATGCATGCATACATACATACATACATATATATGTATATGTATACTAACTCATAATCCCATCTTCATCTCTTCAAGGCCCAGCTTAGGTCAAGCCATTAATTCAGACCTCATTCATCCTCCTTCACAATTGCCATAGGACTTTTCTTAGATGACCTCTTTAAATGTCTTATCTTCTTCTTTATATAACAGTTGAGATCCTTGAGAAAGGAATCATTGTTGGATCTATCTTTCTACTCTCAGAACCCAACAGAGTGCTTTGCATGAATTCTATTTGAATTGAAAACTCTTCCTTGTGTTTTCCTTGGCATATTCAAATCATAGAGTGAGCTTAGAAAAGGAGAAAAGATATTGGACATTGTCAGGAGATATCTGAATTGCAAGCTGACCCTTGTCACTTTCTATTTTTTTTTTGCCATTGGGCAAGTCAGTGTCTCTGAGCCCCAGTTTTCTTCTCTGTAAAATGAGCATAACAATACCTACAGTACTCACCTCACATGATTGCTATGACGACCAAATGAGACGTGAATGTGTGAAATCTGGTGAAAACTTGAAAACTACATGAAAATGCTAATAACTATTATAGCCTAATGGATAAATGACTGAATAAAAGATTGAATATTGATAAAATGCATATGATGATTGGTCTTTACTGTAGGTGGAGGTGTAAAGGAATAAGAGGTGTATGTGTTTGCTTTTTTAATGAATTAAAACAGTATTTTAGTGAGTGAGCAAAGTATAGTTAAAAAATTGTTTATCTTCAGAGTCAGGAAGACCTAAGCTCACTGTGACACTAGCTGTGTGATCAGCCAATCACCTAACTAAACTTCAGTTTCCTCATCTGCAAAATGGGGATAATATTATCAATAGTAGCTCTTTTATGTGGCTGTTTTAACCACCAAATGAGATAATGTCTGTAAAGAGCTTTCTAAACCTTAAAGCTTTTTATAAAGATTTGCTGTTATTAGAATCATTATATTTTTTTTTCCTTGCCTTCCTTCAATAAAATAAAATTGGTCCCAGATAGTAAATATATAGTCTTTAAATGATGGAAGTGCCAATTTCTTGTCTTTTTTTTTTCCTTTGGTAAATAGAGAGCTCTTATAAGACTAGCACCACTCTAATGTAACAAAACACATATATATTTATTTTAAATAACTATTTGTGTATGCTCCATTTAACTCAAGCTGTAACAATGAGTACATATCTCTATAGCAGTCCAGAATTTTTCATTAAAGAAAATTTAAAGGTAATTTATTTAGAAATATCTCTTATATTTCCTGACTCACTTAATGTGACATAAAACCATGTTGATTTCATACTAATAATTAACATCAACTGAATTGAAACAGTGTCTATTTTAAAATTCAGCTCAATAGTAATCTATTCTTGTTGATTTAATTCAAAATTTGGGTAACAGACTTAGAAACAAGACCTAGATTAGCAGAATTACTTGCAGTATTGCAAAAGTTTCTAATCAGCTTATGTGACCAAGGGTACAGGACCTACACTAACTGATCATTAAGAGTAGGGAAGGTACAGGGTGTGATTGGAAACAAAAGTGGCTTCTATACCTTTTGATTTCCCTGGCTAATCTGGGGAAAAATAAATTGAATTCTACTATAGTGTTAATGGGTTGCAACATGTTAATGGGAACCAATGAGTTAATGGGTTGCCCTACCTTTTTACAGTTTAAAAGTAGCTTCTGGAAACACAATACTTTGCCCTGAAGGAGCAATTCTAATGGCTAGCTTGTAGGGAAGATATTTGGGGCAGCTAGGTCTTGAAATCACATCACAGGGCCTATTCAGTTTTGACCCTGTCAGCTTGGCAGTTAAAAAGAAACTCCTTTCAGTTTGAATTTTCTTTTTTTTTGGGGGGGGGCTGGAGAACCTAGCTATTATGTTGTTAAAGCAGATCCGTGTAGAGATGCAAAAAAGATCTAAGATAAGAGATTTTCAGTAAAAAGCAATGTTTAAAGAGAAAAGGGTCAAGATCTCTGGCCTTTAGCATTTAGTGTTAAGGACCCCTGTCTAAATGCACCACAGTTTCTTTTTGAGATCTGGTCATACCAAGTATAAAAGATAAACTCGTGTCCAATGTATTCCCAAAACATATTCTAACTCTTTTTTCTTCCCTCTTATTTCATAAAATGCCTGCCATTGATGTGTAGGTTGAGAAAGGGGAAAGGAGGAAGCATTAAGGAGACTCCATATAGGAGACATGAAAATACAGCTGGATTTTTGTCCTACTTTATTTTATCTTTTTTCTCTCAATATTTTTTAAATCAAATATCCATTCTAATTGGGTAAGTGCAGTCTACTTGAGGGATAGAGAATTGACCTCCCATGTTGTAATCTCTTCTAAATATTAGTGGGTTTTCCTGTTGCAGGAACACTGCCAAAACTATAGACCTGCATCAAAAATGAATGGGCACTATTAAATAATTCAGTCCATTCTTAAACTTCCATGGAATAGAAGCAACATGACCTCCTGACTTACATTTAGAAGAAAAGAACACTTCATATCCTCTTCATATTAAGTGAGATCACCCAAGTCTCTATAATTTGGTAAATTCCAACTGTGTACTTGCTATATCCTGTATTCCTACAGTGACATATATAATGGGTCTCCACAGGCAGCAGGTTTGACAGTAGACAACCCTCACCACCTTTATTTCTCTTCTCACTATGCATGGATGGCTTTTATTGGTAGGGAAAAAATCGATAAACAGGAAATGGTATAAAGAAATAAAAAAGCTATTAAATGTCTGTTATAAATGTTGTATTGCTTAATATCTCCCCACTGACAACATATGTGTTCACTGCAAGAAGTAATAAATAACTTGATGTAACCTAAAAATCTTTGTAGTTAAAATAAGATTTATTTTTAGGAGCCTTCTATCACTGATTAACAAATCAAAATAGGCATTGTAAGCATAACAATGAGGTGGTGGGAGAGAGAAATGTAAGTTATAATAGTAAGAAAAATTTCAGCTCCTTCCTGTCATACATCTAAATGCTGTGTTGTGTTGACAGATCTGGGAAATTTTAGTGGCCGGACAAGAAGTGCAGTCTCTGTGAGGGAAGGCCAGGGGGTTGTTCTGATGTGTTCTCCTCCGCCTCATTCACCAGGTACAGTAGGATTCCCATTATGGATTGCTTCTGTTCTCTTTGACTGTATGTTCATTTGTTTGAATGGTGTCATGTATTAACTGTGAAACATACCAAATGAAATGTCTATATTGCAATTGATATGTCTCTGAGTACCAGAGGAGTAATTAAACATCATTCGTTCTAGATGCCATTGAGTGGGAGACTGAGTTCCTATGATAAGATTATTTTATTGCCACTCTAACTGTTCACTGTCATGGTTGTGTCTCTGCCTGCACCAGTGAGAAATGTATTGCCTGAAGCTCAAGGAAGGAGATGAGTGGAGAGAGGATAGAGACTTTGCAAAACTTCTTTGGAATGTTAGCATTGAGTCCCAGACCTACTGAATACCAATGTGCATCCTCCTTCAGTAAATAACCTAGACGATTATTTGTAGTGTTCTTCACTGCACTTTAGCCAGCACCATTAAGAAACAAATTTTAAGTTTCCAAATAAAAACATAGAACACATAGTATCCTGTATGACTTTTTGGTACAAGAACTTTTGCCTGTAAAACTCACGGTGAGGGACAGGTGGTTTTTAATGGATTTGGTAGTAGACCAGTACACTGTTTTCACATCAAACATACATACTTTTGGCGATCTGTGGCTGGTTACATTCTTTCTTAGGCTTGAGTTCTATAATTTGTTACAAGTTACCCTAAGTTCAGGTGAATTATAATAGTACTTCTTGTTTCATAGGAGAGAATCAAAGATTTAGATGCTCTAAAGTCTATGAGCTTATGATTGGTCTATTTCTAATTAAGAAGTTAATAAAATAACTTGGAGGCAAAAAAAAAGTAGGAAGAAGATTGATTTTCCATGTGCCCTGTTCACTTTTCCTTTAATAATTAGTAAGAAAGACAAAATTATTTTTAAGCTATGTTAGTCATGCAGTAGAGGAACATGATTCTGTTTGGAGTAATATTTTTTTAATCAGAAATAGCAAGTTACATAAAGGTGTATCTTTAAAATCTCCCTTCCTTTGACATTGGGCCTTTTCCAGGTTCACCTTTCAGTTGTTGTCAACTTTGTTAACTTAGATTTAAAAATGAAATGTTGTGACAGTAATGATGTAGTAAGTCAATAAACATGCAGAAAGTGTTTACTGGGTTTCAGGAACTGTGTAAATTTATGGGAATATAAATACAAAAAGAAAGATAGTACCTGCCCTTAAGAAACTCACAATCTAATGGAGGAAAAAAACTCACAATCTAATGGAGGAAAATAACACACAAAAAGAAAAGCAGAAAAGGGAGTGGATGGGCACAAACATAATAGAGTCCAGTACAAAAGATTGTAGACAGGAGAAAATAAAGAGATGGCTAGCCCGGGATTCCATTTTAAGTGGAGACTCTGAAAGGAGTTGTTCTTTGCTCTAATCAGAGAGGCAGAAGGTACTGAAGGCCCCAATGAGATATGAATACAAGGCTGATCCAATCTCAAAGGATGATGTTTCCTGATAATGAGGTTCTTGGGACACATGATCTTGATGGAGTCCAGTCCAAAGGAGTGCAGCCAGATAAGGAACAGATAGCTGGGAGCCCTCTCTAAATGGCAATTACTATATGACTGAGAGGAAATTTTTCTCTGCTCAGAGACTATAGACTCTTAATCGTGTTTAACATTTTGGGAATGTTAAAGTGTGGGTATAATATAGTGGGAGGTCAAGGGCAGGGTGAGTGGGGAGAGGTTGGAGTTTCAGTGAACCTTCTTGGACTTACCTACTTTAGATGTGCCAGGAGGTAGAGAATAGCTCTAAATAATATGTTCAAATTTTAAAATATTTTAAAAATCTTTGTTTAACATTAATAAAGGCATAACATATTTTTCACATAAAATGAGTATTCATATGGTTTTGCTCCCATAGAGGCAATAGCTTAAAAGGTCTAGAAATTTATGGTATCATATTCTGGGTGTTCCAAACATCTTAGTTCAGTTTAAATGATTAATAGCTTAAAACTGCACTAAGACTTTTCAGGTGTCCTGTGTTAATTATGGAATGACTACTATCTCAGTTTGGATTTTTATACAATTCAAACTATGTTTAAGAATTTTTGGGAATGGATTTGAGGTTGGAGGAACTGGATTCAAATTCCAGTGGTGCCTCTTGTGTGACTTTAGGCAAATAATTTAATATCTCTGGACCTCAGTTTTCTTATCTGTAAAATGAACCAAATAACCTCTGTGGTCCTTTTTGCTTTGTATTTATGATCCACGGAGGAAATTTACTTCGGTTTTAAGGATATGTATTTAGGTATATCCCAGAATCATATTCACTGAACAGAAATACATACCTGAAGAGGAAGGTTAACCAACACTCTAGAGTAGTTTGTGATCCACTAACACTATTGTGCGTTGTGGAGAATACTATTCTTATCTTGTGTAAATTTAACTTTAGTTTGTCCATTTTTATCCACTGCGTCTTTTGCCAAAGAAAATCAACTTGTTGTAGAAATGACATCTACTTCCATCAGATTAGCTGCCCAGCAAGAAATTAGGTGCAAGTGGGCTTTGAGAGCTATATATGTGTATTTGAGAATTAATTGCTGTGAGGGATGAAGGCAAGGAGGGGCGAAAATCCCTTCCTCATTAGTTTGACATGGAAAAGACAAACTACAAGGGAAGGTTAGTACAGAGATAAACTCTGGGCCATGTTTGCTTTGAAATCAGGATAAGAAAACAAATGAGTAGAACCATGGCCATGGTTGGTTTGGGAAAGAACACAACACAAAAGAGAAAACTGGAAGGAGTTATATTCTTTACTTTTCACAAACAGAAACAGTGTTGATCACAGGACATCAAGTGAACACTTCTGAAACAATCACAGAGTATCAGTGGTCCCTGAAGGGTGCACTGAAGGTCAACATTCAGATGCTAGGAGATTGGTGACAAACTTCAATTATTTTTATCATTAGTCACCATATGACGTACACATAACACACACAGTCAAATGGAAGAAATAAAAATATGACTTTCTCAAATTTATTTTTCAAAATGTTCTGGTATATTAGCAAGCTAAAATTAAGAAAATATCTTCCCTAAAGAAACAACTTTAAGCAGTGCCAGAAGAAATCAGCTGTTTAAAACTATTTGCTGTTTTCTAAAAAGACTACTCTGACCTTAACTGGGCACTGCATTTCTGTCTGCTTTTTGAAAACAATTTTTCATATTTACCACCCTGAATGTTTAATATATGCCCTGTTCAATGTATTCTCCTATTCTAAATATTCTTATTTTTTTAAAGATTAAGTTTCAATATGCTTAGAGAAAGGGCAGTTGGTGATTCAGTGGTTAGAGCACAAGGCCTAGAATCAAGAAGACCTGTGTTCAAATCTAGCCTCAGATATTTATTAGCTATGTTACCCTATTTGCCTCAGTTTCCTCATCTATAAAGATGAACTGAAGAAAGAAATGGCAAACCACTCCAGTATCTTTACAGAGAACCCCAAGTGGGATAATCAAGAGTTAAACATGCCTGAAACAACTAATGCTTATATGAAGTGGCTTTTCTGTAGAAATCCTTTAATAACAATAGTGTATATTCTCAAAATATTACCTACAAAAAAAAATTCAGTAAATTAAGCCATTTTTTCATACTGACTCTAATTATATGCTGGCAATTTCAAAGACTAAAATAACCAATTCTAACTTAATGATGGCAATGAACCTCAACAGTGCTGAATGCCAATGACGTTGGTCATGGCAGGGGAAATGTGGTCCAAAGAAGGTTTCATTTCTGTGCATCTCTTTAAAGCACTAGAGTAAATGGCACATACAGGAGTGCCTTCGGAAAATGATGACTTGCTTCTATTGCCCTATATAATCAATTAAAAAAGAGCCTCACAAATCCATTCAATCGAAGCTTCCTCTGCCTCACATGCCTATCTGATATCACTAATATGCATAGAGGCTTCTGATTGCCTTCTGCAGTTACCCTTTGTTGGATTGTCCTATATTGATATTTCTTAACTTGTAACTTATGGGGCTTTCTCCTTGATCTCTTGGGACTCTAAGGCTCAGCAAGTTTTGAGTCTAAACAGGCACTGATTGAATATACAGTCAATGCTTTATGGAAACAAACTATACATTAGTATATTCATTTGGAAAGTCCCTAACTTAGGAATTACCCTAAGTAATCCTCTCAGAAATGTATTAAGAGATTGTGATGGGGCTCATTCAACAAGGAATAATTACAGAAAGTTATTAAAGACCTATAAGCTTTCATAAAGTATTGCTTTCCCATGAAATAGCCACTTACAGAAGACAGCTTGCCTAGAACTTTGTGAGTTTTACAGCAAAATGTGTGACCTAGTGAGTACCTCTGAGTCATGATTCTATGCAAGTGATTTTTTACATGAAATAATATGAAATGCTTTTGATCTTCCTGTATTGATTCATCAAAGTAGCTGATTGTATTATCTTGTGTTTCTATTACAAAATTCACAATATTTCTTTTGTTTTTCCTTTATAACTGCAGCACCGTATGAACGACTGCCTTTCTAAGGTCTACCCTCTTTTTCTCTGACAGATATCTGACTGCCTCTCTCCTGCCTGGATTAGAGGCAAACATACAGTGGCAACAATAGGGCGTTAGAGATTGTAGGAAACTAAACATTTTATAACTGAGTTAGCTGGAAACATACACAGAATTTGTCTTTTCTCATAAACTGTGCAAATTTCTGAGTTTTCTTTTAATGATAAGGACTACTGCATTTTCATTCTAAAGGGAAACCTGTCAGAAACACATTAATTTTCTGTTCACACAGAGGGACTCAGAACTGGTATTAGACTTAAATATCTGCTTAAATTTCAGGCCAAATTAGGATAATCAGACACAAAATTCAATACTGAATCAGTGGTAAACCATATATGTATAATCTACCACTATGGATAATACTTTTTAATTTCTTTAATTTGCTTTTTGAGCTGATAGTATTGCCCTGAGCAAACTGAGCCCGTTGTCTATTCGGTGTTCATTTC